TTTAAAGTGATTGTCTGGAGTTTGTCAGAAAGAGAGACAGAGAGGTACTTGATTTGAAAAAAACGACGCAAGCTACCTCCCCCTTCCTTTCTGATTGGTCTACACCTACGTTTCCGTAACACTTTGAAATGTTAATCAGAGAACATATTATACATATACATTATTAATACACATGCACGGAGGTTTTCAGAATTATTTGTTTTAATGTTTTAACGTTTTAATGAAAACGTTTTAATGAAAAAAATAATGTTTTTATGCACAAAAAAAGCGATCGCGGCAAACCAGGAAGTGCTATTATCATGAATTGCACATTATAGGACACATCTGCAGAGGATCTGATTATGGATATAGGTTCAGAATATACATAAGTACCTCAGCGCGGATGTTCAGAATTATTTGTTCAGTTTTCATGTTGTTCCAGAGCCTAATAGAGGCTCCGCGAAAACAAACAACTGCGCATGCGCGCAGCTGCGAGCATCAGCGCCGATGATTGACAGCCCTTGGCATGACTCGATTGGTTAACCTCGACGACACCGTGGATTCTGAACTATAGCTAAGAGCAGGGAAGGCGGGGCTTGCCCGTACTATTAGAATTAATAAAATGACTTATTTTATATCAACATTTAAGGCCAGGAGGTCAATTTAGCACATTTCCTAAAATTTGTAATTCATTTAGAGTTACAGACTATCAGTCTTTAAGTGGGAGAACTTGCACTATTGGTGGCTGACTAAATACTTTTTTGCCCCATGTACATGTTTTTATATAGCTTTTTTTATTTGTTTAAATTGTAAAATTGTTTGAAATGGATTCAACATTGATTATTTGGTAATATTTACATTTTAAAAATGTTTGTTCAATTTTAGTTTTTTAATTCTTTAAATGTTTTTTTATCTAGTTATTTTGAATTTGACATGTATATTTTTATTCAAATAATTTGTTTATTCTGATTGTATTGACCCAGTCATTATCATATTTTCATACCAAAACTCTGCTGTTTTGATATCTGTTCCAAGACAAACTGCACATTGCATTATCTCTGTCCTGTATTTTTCTCTTCTCACACAAATCTAAAAATATCCATCCTCTGCGTCCTCTGCCCTGTCCGGAGTCTGCCAGCTCATTTCCCACAATGCCGCTTCCTTCTGATTAAAATGCGACGGCGGTCAGTTCTTTTCATTGAACGTTCTAATTAGTCGCAGCCGGTAGACGCCAACTCAGCAGAAGTTCACTCTCTATCGGCCGAAGGGACGGGAGAGAACAATGAATGAATGTGAAGCTATAGCAAGGCCAGGAGGAACAGTGGAGGCTGCCAGAGGCAAACAGACATTTATAGTATTAAAAATATATTATTATTTAAATGTCTCTGGTCTCTCTCTCTGGTAACTCTCTCTCTCTCTGGTAACTCTCTCTCTCTGGTATCTCTCTCTCTCTCTCTCTCTCTCTCTCTGGTATCTCTCTCTCTCTCTGGTATCTCTCTCTCTCTCTGGTATCTCTCTCTCTCTCTCTCTCTCTCTCTATCTCTCTCTCTGGTATCTCTCTCTCTGGTATCTCTCTCTCTCTGGTCTCTCTCTCTGGTCTCTCTCTCTTGGTCTCTCTCTCTGGTCTCTCTCTGGTCTCTCTCTTGTCTCTCTCTGGTCTCTCTCTCTGGTCTCTCTCTCTGGTCTCTCTCTGGTCTCTCTCTCTGGTTCTCTCTCTGGTCTCTCTCTGGTCTCTCTCTTGGTCTCTCTCTCTGGTCTCTCTCTCTGGTCTCTCTCTGGTCTCTCTCTCTGGTCTCTCTCTCTGGTCTCTCTCTGGTCTCTCTCTCTGGTCTCTCTCTGGTTCTCTCTCTCTCTCTCTCTGGTCTCTCTCTCTGGTCTCTCTCTCTGGTATCTCTCTCTGGTATCTCTCTCTGGTCTCTCTCTGGTCTCTCTCTGGTCTCTCTCTGGTATCTCTCTCTGGTCTCTCTCTCTGGTCTCTCTCTGGTCTCTCTCTCTGGTCTCTCTCTCTGGTCTCTCTCTCTGGTCTCTCTCTCTGGTCTCTCTCTCGTCGCTCTCTCTGGTCTCTCTCTCTATGGTATCTCTCTCTGGTCTCTCTCTGGTATCTCTCTCTGGTATCTCTCTCTGGTATCTCTCTCTGGTATCTCTCTCTGGTCTCTCTCTCTCTGGTCTCTCTCTCTGGTATCTCTCTCTGGTATCTCTCTCTGGTATCTCTCTCTGGTATCTCTCTCTGGTATCTCTCTCTGGTATCTCTCTCTGGTATCTCTCTCTGGTATCTCTCTCTGGTCTCTCTCTCTGGTATCTCTCTCTGGTCTCTCTCTCTGGTATCTCTCTCTGGTATCTCTCTCTGGTCTCTCTCTCTGGTCTCTCTCTCTGGTCTCTCTCTCTGGTCTCTCTCTGGTCTCTCTCTCTGGTCTCTCTCTGGTCTCTCTCTCTGGTCTCTCTCTCTGGTATCTCTCTCTGGTATCTCTCTCTGGTATCTCTCTCTGGTATCTCTCTCTGGGCTCGCTCTCTCTCTGGGCTCTCTCTCTCTGGGCTCTCTCTCTGGGCTCTCTCTCTCTGGGCTCTCTCTCTCTGGGCTCTCTCTCTCTGGGCTCTCTCTCTGGGCTCTCTCTCTGGGCTCTCTCTTTCTGGGCTCTCTCGGCTCTCTCTCTCGGCTCTCTCTCTCGGCTCTCTCTCTCGGCTCTCTCTCTCGGCTCTCTCTCTCGGCTCTCTCTCTCGGCTCTCTCTCTCGGCTCTCTCTCTCGGCTCTCTCTCTCGGCTCTCTCTCTCTCTGGTCTCTCTCTGGTCCTATGTGTAGCAGTCTTCATATATAGCCATCACTGGGCCCACGTCGCTCTCCTCTCTGCCCAGCCGTGCGCACTCGTAGGCGGGTATTTTCTCTGCGATAAGCCCCTCTCCTATCACCCACTCCAGTCCCCCCATCACTCAACGGGACAATGGCCACTGTCCGCTCTAAACGTCCCAAAAGACAGGGCTCAGCTCCGCACACCTGCCCACAGAGATACCAGCGGATTGGACTTGCTTGCAATTGTACGCCTTGGACAGCTCTGATCCAAAATGCCTGCAATGCAAATGGAGAGCGGTGGCACCAGTCACCGAAAGAGGGGGCTGATTATTAAAAGGTCAGTGCGACAAAATGATTAATGTGGGAGAGAGGAAGGTAAACAACAGATAATCGGCTTTTGAAAAAAATCAAATTTGTGAAAAATGTTAAAATCGTGAAATCGAATGAAGGATATTGTGAGAGTTCCAGCAGCACATTAATCATATTTGCAATATTAGCACAGTCTGTACAAGACTTTTATAATACGTATTGAGGGAAACAAATTAGAAATAGTTTTGAAACTTGAATATTGAGCGGAAAGATCAAAACATATTTTTAAGGGCAAAGTCAGTCTTCAGTGACTTTAATAAAAATCGATTAAAAATCAAAATCGTCCAAAGCAGGAAATAAAATCGAGATTTTACTTTTTTGCCATATCGCCCAGCCCTAATCAGGGCAAGTCACAGTGACAGAACTTAGATCTGAAACACCCTCTGCATTTGACTTTTGTGATTTAGAATTTTTAAAACACAACGATTGAATTCGTATTAAAAATGTATGTTGCCACTACTAAAACTACTACTGCTGCAGCTACTACTGCTGCTACCACTTCTTCTATTACTTCTACTAGTGCTATATCTACTACTAAAATAAATGTGTATATACACATTATTGGAATACTATTTGATGGTAAATAAAATTGTATTTATCAAGGCTTGTACAATTCTCAATGTGACACAAATGCAACTGGCTAACAATAACAACTAATAAAGAGATACAAAGATTGTGTCTGTCATTTTCCACCAACCCATCCATTTCCTTCTACTTTATTCAGTGCCAAGTCACGAAGCAACGAACATTTCGCACAATTCCCTCTCAAACTTAATGATCTCATTTCAAAACTGTACAATCTCCATTTCTCTGCCAAAATAGTTGCGTCATTGTGTGAGAGAACTGTAAGAAATGTCACTCTGCAACATTGCATTCTTGCTGGTCTTGTTTTGAGCAATCGAGCTCCGCAGGAAAAGTCTATTAAATAATACTTCTGTGGCATGAGGTTGTTGTTTTACACATAGCTGGAAGATTGTTTAAAACATCAAAATTGGAAGCAAAAATCACAGATGCCCACAACAGATTATCAATATAACAATCATACTTCCTACATCAATCTATACAACTGTGTTTATGTAATCAGGAGTGATTAGGGGTTTTGAAAAAGATAAAGAATTCTTGGTTTATTTTGTATCCAGCTTCTAATATACAGTCTATAGTTTTTTGGACAAGGGGACACGTCACAACAGGAGATGGCTATGAGATCATAATAGCTCAGTTGAGTTTATTTATAATTTAAGACAAGTCAAACCATTTCAGCCACTTGACGACAGAATACAAAAGTACATTAGGTCTGAACAAGGAATAGGCAGAAGCCACAGGTTATATTGCCTACTTTTTAGAATACAATCTAATATGAATCAGGATTATTTGTAATTAATTTTTGCAAACAGGTTCATTTTTGTGGTTCTTTTGAAAGACAAGTTAGATGTATTTGCTGTTAGCAAGGCATTACATCGAACTTGTCTTTCAAAAGAACCACAATTGTGCAATTTTAAAGTTAACTTAGTCCTTAAACTTCAATGCCTGTATTGCATTTTTATTAATGGGGAAAATCGCTATAAATGTTATGACAGCACAATGTGTATTTTGTCTTTCCTCTGTAGAAAAGTACAGCTTGTTACGTGATATAGACACGTTTTGCTATGCGTTCGTCATTAACATCTCTACAGGACTAGCGTTTGGTCCATCACTGAATTTATAGCTAAATTGTCCTACATTCCTTAACTATTTTGACTAATCTGATACGATTGCGTAGAAAAATGTTAATTAAAATCCCTGCGGGGGTAACTGTCAAAAACTGTCGGGGTAAAGAGTCAATCTAGCTAACTAGCATGCACACATAATGAAAAGAGATAGGCGGTACCTGTTGGTCCAAAATCCTTCGATATCTGCGCGTTGCTTGGTCCACTAAATCCTTTACAGTCCAGCCAGCTTTGCAAGGAACTACCACAGCAGTGTCCCCAAAGGTTACGGTCACTTTCATGGCTCGAACACACACAAACAAACACGAATGAAGTGTTTAAAAAGAGAAATATTCGCGTAGTTTTGGTGGTTTGTCCTTCCGGGCTTGCTGTAGCTCTAGTAGCACCTGCAGCCTTCTGGAGCGTCAGGTGTCAAAATCACGGATAGAAATAACGTCTACGCCACGAGAATGAACGTTATTTGAGTGGAGTCCAGAGAATACATGGTCACGGTGAAATATTAGTCCGGAATTATGTCAAAAACGCGGTGAAAAGTTGTTAAAAGTGGCGATAATGAGCGAGTTCACGGCGTGTTTTGGCTGCTGCACCAGTTTGTCCAATCAAAACAACGAGAGACCGAGAACCCGGAAGTGTAGTTTCAGGTAGATTTTTTTTCCCCAGAGTAGACACACACATCACATTCCTTGGTATTAAATGTGTGTATGAAAAATATGCTGGATAGATTCTATTATTGAATAAAAGGAAATGATGGTTTCTGTCCCTAGACCATGCCCTGGACCTGTGCATGCTTTAATAATTTGAAAATAGAATATTTATTAAAAGATTATAAACATTGTATTATGGAATTTTTTATAGAACATTGAAGTAATAATATATGTATACGTTTACAGTTTTTTTCAGTCGCTTTGATGCTTTTCTCACATCAGAGTGAGAGTTCTCACAACTATTAGTTCATCCTCTATAGCATTGAGCACACAGCATTTGTGAACATAATCTTAGCAATTTCTCATTCCTTTGAACAAATTGCAAATGCTTTTGGACTTGTGTCAGATACTTTCACATAATTCTCTGCCGTTTCATGTCATGTCAGTCAAAATTAAACATACATACTGTACATATTCGTTCTCTGTAAAAACTAATAGTCATTTCATTGCTTGAGTCATTACATACAAAATTGAACTAGTTCAGAATCTGTTGCCTTGCAAGGGAAGACATCCACTGTAATTCAGATGAAAATAAGACAGACAGGAACGCGTGGATGGGCTGGAATAAATTGTTGTTTACATTTGTGCACAGTTGTACCATAAGGTCTTTCTCATGGTGTAAATATAGTAATTGACTGTATATATGTGTTTACATGAGTGAATGAAATATATACATATGTACATCCATTCAAATGGCTAAACAGGGTGTGAATAGTGCTATCAAAGCCATATGACTGTCGTGTTCATAAACAATGTCAGGACTTATTATTTTGATGACACAGACAGTTTCATTGACATGAAGACTTGCTTTTGAGGAATCAACTATTCATTTTGAGCAAGTGACACTTTTGCAGGTTATCCACTAGGTTTTTGCAGTTTGTACTAATTGTTCTGAGAAATGCCCTAACTTGTGAAAACTATTAGTGATGTGAGAAATGCATAAAAGTCACTTGGGACGATAGTGGCTCGTGGGGTTTGAGCCCACCGCGAGACTTTCTCCACCGACTACAATCGCTGTCTGCTGTTGTTGTGTCCGTGAGCAAGACACTTTGGGCAAGGGGTGCGGAAGTAGTTTGTTGCATGTCTTGATGTGATATGTGTACGTATATGACTATTCATAAAATCAAATGTTTACATCGTGAGATCAATATAGTATATCTATACTAATGTCTGTTTCCCTCCTGCTTTCTACAGACACATCCATGAGAAAATCACACATACTGTAGATTCAAACTTGTATTAATTTGTTTTCTGGCCATTACAATTAAAGCTATGCTACCTAGTTTAATGTTTTCATTAATAATTGTTTGTCCCAAAAGCAAGAGTCAGACCACAACCTGCTGTCTTTATCTGTCAGAAAACATCTTATATTTTGTGTAATAAAGAACTCTGTCACTATTTGACTCTTTGGGCTGAGAGCTGATTGGCTGAGTGAGGGTGGTCCTCTCCGGGAGTACGGGGTGACAGGCGGATCGGTGCAGCGTGCGCAGTGATGCGGTTGCTGTATCGGGCCGTTGTGGTGAAGAAGGAGCTGAGCCGAACGGCAAAGCTCTCGATTTACCGGTCAATCTTCGTTCCCTCCCTCACCTAAGGTCATGAGCTGTGGGTAATGACCGAAAGAACGAGATTGCGGATACAAGCGATGGAAATGAGCTGCCTCCGCAGAGTGGCTGGGCGCTCCCTCAGAGATAGGGCGAGGAGCTCAGTCACACGGGAGGAGCTGCTTCTCCACGTTGAGAGGAATCAGTTGAGGTGACTCGGGCATCTGTTCAGGATGCCTCCTGGACGCCTCCCTGGGGAGGAGACCCCGGGGAAGACCCAGGACACGCTGGAGGGACTATGTTTCTCAGCTGGCCTGGGAACACCTTGGGGTCCCCCCTGATGAGCTGGATCTCTGCTTAGACTGCTGCCCCCGCGACCCGGCAATGGATGAAGCGGATAAAATGGATGAAAAGGAAAGCTGGTTTGTGTGACAAAGCTTATAAGAGGAACTGAAAGGGGTTAATATTGCTTTAGATAAGTAGGATAGTCCAGAAAAAAACATCTATAAATGGAAAATAACCAGTGAGAGTGACGTCTGATGAGCAAAGACAGAGCAGAGAGCACAGAGAGCGAGACCAGAGAAAGAGCAGTAGAGGCCAGAGACCATCTTACTATTTCAATTCAGCTTATTTTTGTGTTGCCCTAAATCACAATCGTAGATATCTGGAGGACTTTACAAAGTTGTCAATTCACCAACAACAGATCAGAGAATCAAACCGTTCAAACACAGTAAATACAAAAACAAAAATAGGAGTCATTAGTCCATAGGGAGTTGGATGACCACTGTCCAGAAATGTTAATAAGGTCCACAGAAGAAACTGCTACCAATTCTTTGTTTGCTGTAAGTTAATTTTATTCCTGTCAGCTTCAATTCCCAAACAGAAAAAACTCCCCTCCACCCCCTCCCCACCCCCGCACATCAACAATGCTAATTACCCCATTGCTATTTCCATATTTCCATCACGTCGGCTGTAAAAAACCTATTTATGCAAATTGAACGTCCACTGGATCTTTAATACTGTTTACTTTGGGGGGAATCTCTCGCCCATCAGCAACTCAAAGAACCACAACAGATGCGTTTTAATTGCTGTATAATTCCTTGCGATGTTTCTGGAGATATGAGAAAGACAATAAGAACTGGTCCGACGATTGCAGCATCATTGAGATTTGAAAACTGTAGATAAATGTAGATATACAATGTTATCTTTGCCAAGGATCGGAGACAAACAAATTAACGATTGGGTAATGCTATTTTGTACAGTGACAAGGCAGATGGGTCCGTGCATTTTTCGTTCAATGGTTTTTTCAAATTAAAATCGAAAATGAGATATCTAAAAATGGCTTGAATTTTTATTTTCATTTTGATGAAGAAATGGAAAAATTGATTTTTTGTTCCGATGCAAAAAAGTGAAAAGGCAAAAATTGAATAATGGTCTCAGGCCGATATGGTTTCGTTTTTTTTGTTTTGGCGCAACCTGAAGTTGGCTGTGCACCATTATTTTTGTCCGGTTGGAAACAGCAGAAAGCCAGCAGGAATCAAGTAAGTTCAGACTTGAAAATGTTAGGAAATAGATGGAAAACCTGCAGCCACAGTAGACCAGGGTTGTTCAAACGTTTTAGTAAGAGGACTACTTGAGTTCAGCAAAATTGAGAGGCCAAGAGACAATAGAGAGAGACCAGAAGACGAGAGAGACCCGAGAGAGAGAAACCAGATAGAGAGCAGAGAAAGAGACCAGTAAGAGAGGCCGAAGAGAGAGAGACCAGAGAAAGAGACCAGCGAGAGAAACCAAAGAGAGAGAGGGACTGGAGAGAGAGACCAGAGAGAGACCTGAGGGAAAACAGGGAGAGAAAGACACACCAGAGAGAGAGATCTTCTGCCTTCGCTTTCTCTCATCAGCTTTTTGTAAACAATTGAAAGAATGTTACTACAACCAGCAGCTTTCGTTCCCTTCAAACAGGTTTTGTCTGAGGCCTGAATACGTCAACGGCTGCAAAAAGAAATGTGTGAGAGATAAATGACAGGAGGCGGTGGAAGAACGGGCTTGGTTTGACAACACAAACCTCCCGCTCTCGCATTGATTTCACCGTCAACGAGCCTCCCCCGCGTCACATTCGCAGCCGTGCCGCTTTCAACTACATGCTTGTTGAAGGAGAAGTTTTTGACAATCACAACAGGAAAAATATTAGTGCCAGAGTTTGAAAAAATACATGAAAAACAATATTGTAAAATTGGTGACACATTCAGGCGAGTGGCTACAACATATTTGTTTTGGAATTGTTGCATACTTTGGCAAATGACCAATTTTTGAATCTTTTGGGAACCTATGTACAATGCAGACACACAGATGGACAAATTTTAGGAGAAAACATGACTTTGGGTTGGGAGATGATTGGCTGAGTGAGTGTACAGTGCCGTTTGAGAATTTAGAATTTCAAGTAGTGTCACCTAAATCTGACTTCTTTAGAGAGAGTAAAGTGTCACAATGAAAACATGACAAAGCCATTTGACTCTTGTTCATAAACACTAGTGTCAGGACTTTTTATTTTGAGACACAGACACTTTCATTGACATGAATACTTGCTTTTGAGAAATTATTATAATTTTGCGAAAGTGACTTTTGCAGGTTTTCCACAAGGTTTTGCAACTGCATCTGTTGTGCAACTTGGGATGCAACACTGACATTTCCCCACTGTGGTACGAATAAAGGATCTCTTAATCTTAATCTTAAATGTTATTAGTGTGAGAAATGCACCAAATCGAATGAAAAAAAACTTTCATTATCTCAGATTGTTTAAATTAACACCCACACACACTGAATGATAGATAGCTATAGATTTAGATAGAATTTGTGTGTCATATTTCTTCCTTCTCTGGTTTGTTCCCTTCACCATGTTCGTTATACTTCTCCTTATTTACCTCTTCTTTATACTTCCCCTTATATATCTCCTTATATATTTGACCCCTGTGCCACCTCACCCCCAAAAAATAGCCTTTTTTTCCCCAATCTCTACAGGAGAAATCACCAAAATAGCAT